GGGGCTTTCATAACTTACTCCCTCGCGAATTTCATATTATCTTATTTCAAAATTACTTCCTTGTGAATTTTATATTTTCTTGTTTCAATTCAGTGAATTCGATTAGGCTTTAAGACAACTGAACAATAATATTTAAAAAAATTATATTAATTGCCTATCTATTTTTTTCATAGAAACTATTGAAAAGAATCACGAATAAAACTGGTTTGTGACCAATACAAGATTTATGTGTGTTTCTTCCAATAAAAACAAGTAGGTTTAAACAAAAAAGGTTTGTAAATGTCGAACAATAAGAGCCAAAACTGACAGAGTCAAGAAAGGTTCATATTGTTTTATTTTAATGTTGACCACAGCAACAGTGGGAAGTTTTTGAAAAATTCCAGTTATAAAAACGACTAACTGTAACTAAAACTAACAGGACGCTAAGCATCCCATGGTAGTAAATAAATAATGTTCGAAAATTAAACTAGGAAGAAACAAGTACATATTTCAGGGAAAGTTTTCAGAAATCGTGTGATGCGGTCTGGTGTGATGTAGGTCTGTTTTTCTGAAACCTACATCACACCAGACCGCATCTCACACATTTCAGGAAAAGGTTTTAAATAGCACAACACAAATTTGTTGTAAAGAAAATCTCCTATTTGCGAACAGACCCGGGCTGCTGTGAAATTGTTCTTGTTTTTTTCTAATAAATTATAGATAATTCTAAAAAAATATTGTAAAATAATCTTGTTGTTAAGTTGCATGCTGCAAACAGCCAGAAATATAGAATAGAAATGTTTTTTTCTTTTAAATTGTCATAGTTTGGTTTATAAAAATATAGATCTATATGGATTTTGAGGTCTGTAAGTGATAGAATTTCATTTAGTAACAATATACATCTAACAATGTTAGATTATTTTTAAATTCAAAAAGCTATTAAAAATATCCTGTAAATTAAAAAAAATCGTTTCTCATCAATTAATGACCTTCAAATCTTCAATTAAAAATTTCTATTAAATTCTCTTTTTTCACAATATAATTTAGCAATAATCATTCGTGTAATCAATTTATATTTTTAAATTTCAATTATAACTAAATTTTATGTACATTACACATAAGTCAACATTTCTTCATACATCATTTTTTAAATATAATCAACCGTTATTTTTTTACAATTGAATGAATATTATACAATAATCGTTATATTTTAAAATAATTATATATATATATATAATTATTTTAATTAGGTACCAGTAAATTCACAATGTTTTCTACTGAATTAGAAAAACATCAAAATGCTCAACAATTAAATTGTACGATATTTAAAATGTTTTTAAGTAAAAATTAATAGCCAAACTGATATAGTTCATTGAATTTTTAAATATATAATTTCAACATATGATTGAATTGAAATATTATTTAAACATAAAGGGTATTTTTTAAACTGATATGTTGTCATATTATCAATTTATTAATCTTAATATCTTCACGTGAAACTATGGTTCCGAATAAACTTTCTGTTTTTATATTCCAGATAATTGCATAAAAAGCACTCATATCATCATTTTGTTTGTTTTTTAAAATTTAAAGTGCAATTAAGCTTTGAACAAATATTTTATAACACTATATTTTCCATATAGTAACTGTGGATTGTATTTTTTTATTTCAATTAGTTTTATTACTTGGTTTTGGAGAAGAATTTAAAGTCTTGATTGTGTGGTTTTAGTGTAATGCACATTTTTTTATGCCATATTATCAATTTCAAATTAAGTGTATTGTAGTCAGAAATTTTACTTTTACAATGTATTTACCGTTCACACTTATAGCACGTCAGTATCTATACATATATTATATTTTCATTTTGTTAATATTTCTGATTTCTGTTTTTTAAAATCTTTGTTTTTTATGTAGGTTTCATATAATAATTTACATAATTTCATACATCAGAATCCACAAGACAAGTATCATCTTAACGTTTTCTGCCTCGTCTATGGCATAATGTACTGAATGCTTATTTTGCCGAAACAACTGGACGTAAGTACATCACTGGGTACATCATCCTGAATTGAATCAACATACGCTTGCCCAGATAATGTCTTTTCAAAATAAAAAATTCTGCTTTGTACGAAACTCCGCCATTGTTTCTATTCTATGATAACCGCGGTTATAATCCGCTTAGCGCATTTCCAATCGCCTTTTAATGGCTATTTGGCTTTTTTCGGTTCCAATTAATAATGAAAGCTGCTTTATAATTAAAATGGATTTTAAGTGGTTCTAGGACTAATTTGTGGCTTAATTGACAGAACAGTGACCCTGGTTGAAAGAAATGTAATAAACATGGTTCCAGCAGAATATAACAAAAAGTATAATTCTGATACTTCGTTATATGCATAATGGTCCCCTTTTTAAATAATTCTTGTTGTTGTAGAAAAAAAAAATTTAATCTATAGAAATATTACAAATTTTAAAAGACACGCATGAAATACTGGGATTTTTCTTGTTCAGAATGGACATCTGATTTTGTGAACTTTTCACTCGTATTACTAAAAAGCAAGCATTCTCCTAAATCAGTTTTCTACCCACTTTCATATTTATAAGATACTTTACTATACTACTAATCCTTCAATTATGTATGCACTGGCACATTTGTCCACTTTTTGGGTATTAATGTTACTAACTATTTGACTTTTCTCAGGGCAACAGGTATTCTCAGGGACATGTTCACAATAAAAATAATTGATTAAAGTCTATTCGAGACCGAATAACTTTAATAAAAATAATAGTAATAACCATTAAAAAATCAAAGATTTTGATGGTCTATGCATCTCCTTATACGTTTTAAACAGAACAAAAATTAATTTTAGTAAAAGTAGGATTTAAGGGAGTTCTGATTGCTTTTAAGAGAAGCTGTATAAAATAATGCGGCACTTGAACTGAAGATGAGGGAAAACACTGAATATTGAATTTTTAAAAAATTGAATTGTAACTGTGGGATCACTGAAAATGTTCCGATTTTATTGGGAAGTGCTCTATTTTGGGAGTGCTACGATTATTTAATTTTGAACATTTTTTTCTCATTGGAAATGCTGATTTACCATCTTTATGGTCATGAGCAATATTAATATTTTTAGGTTTATAGGAATTATCTGGAAATAAAGATACATCCACTTGGTTTGTTTTCTTCCAAAAAACCCTACATAATAAATATTTTTTAATGTCTTTTTTTGTCTGAATTTAGCTTATATTGATTATTATATTGGGTAAACACGTTAACTCATTTATTCTTATTGGCCACCGTTTTCCCCATCGGTTTACTTCTATTTTTATATTTATGTTTTTCGTATTATTTTATATAAAAATTTTCGTACCTTCTTATTTTAGGAAATATTATCAGTGAGTTAATTTTCTCTTTATCATTCAGCTCAGATACGCCCTTTGGCTGATGGATGCGCAGATTCTTGTCGTACTGGTATTTTTCGTAAATAAAACTTAGTTTACCTATAACTCGTAAATGAAATAGAGGAATTTTTTTAGTTCTACTCAATTTTATTCTATTGGACTTTTTCAATAATTAGGTCAAATAAAAATAGCTATTTAAGCGTAATGTTGATTGTTTTATCGTAAACGTAGTCAGAAAAGCCATGATAATATTTGATTATATTATATGAAAACGAGTTTATTGTTACATTTGAAATAATAATAAATGAAGAAGATGTGATGAAGAATTAGAAATTATTTTAAAATAATTGGGAAAATACTCTATTTTAACAATGAGTAAAGGTATGCTAATCTGTAAATAGGTCATCATAAAAATAACTTTTCATTTCAACCAAAAATAATAATTAATTGAAAAAAGTAATTTGGCCAATCAGACCACTAAACATAATGGATTTAATAAAATGTAAGGTTTCTTTTGGTTTTTTTTTTGACAACTTTCAGCAATATAGTTATTTTCTATTATCAAAGTCTAAACTGTACTTTATACCAAACGATATTTATAGGTTCAATATTCAAAGAAATTTGTGAATTTTTAAGTAAAACCAAAAAGGTGGAAGGCAGTAGATCACTATTTAGATGCTATCGCGCAGGTCGGCTAACCCGATGATAACATGTCAAAAACAACTCAAACAACAAACTTTTGCTCCACCCTTGTTTTTTTAACCTAAGGTTAAAGATATTACAAAAAACTTTAAAAGCTAATTTTTTCCAGCGAAATGTCAAACTCTTTTATTTAACTAACTCTCTTCATAATTTATGCAAGAAACGTACAGAACATCCAAAGTGTATTAATGTAGTTCGACAAGCACATTTTGTTCTATTCGGGTGCATCACCTAGAACCCTAAAAAGTTACTATTAAGATCTTTTTGCTAAAAAATACAACCTTCATTGTTCTGTTTTTTAAACTTTACTTTGCCTATTCATGAATTTCCTTTGTAATTTATGCACTCTTTTGTAATTTCAAGAAGAAAAATAATAATTTTTAAACTTTTAGTTGTTTTTGCACACAACATTAAATTATTTATATCATGCATTTATTTGGTATATGCTGCAATATGTATAATCACGCAAAGACTGTTCATGTTTTCTTCTAAATAAATAACTAAACTTCTAATAAATCGAATTGTTCAGATTTACTTTTCCTAATTATAAACTTATTTAAAATATTGCGAATCGTGTGATCTAATTTACTGTGAATTAATTACATAAAATTTCAAAAAAATAGTATCAAATTTGAATTAAAATATAAATATAAATCGTTTGAATTAAATTTTTTGGGGTTTCACAAAAATGGAGTTTTTTCAGCAAAGAACTGTATTGCAAGATGTCTTTTTAACCGCAGAAGAATGCTTAATAAAACTATATTTTTTTATAACCAATTAATAATTACGACGAAACTTTTACAACACTTAAGATGATATTAAAAAAAGAAAAATCTTCCTCACGATGAAATTTGATGGTGATACTTTGTTTTGTTTGTATTTTTCACATGTTTCTTTTTCATTTTTTTTAAACTTACCTATTGTGATAATGAATAAAGCGACAGAAAGGGCATAGGCGAGAGCCGGATTAGCGTGAGACATGACTCCGTTTTTTTAATTCTTTGTTTTTAAATAATTATTTCTGTCTGCTAGGAATCACACACGTCTGTCTCGTACATACGGCACTTGCTTTAAAAGGGAGATGTACAGGGTGCCCCGGTTCTAGACTTGAAACTGGCCTCCCGCCTGAACTTCGTCGGACACAGGACTTTGCCGGTTCTCTCTGCGACCGCAGTGCGCACGCAAGCCGCCACTGATCAAGCCGGATAGACGATAAAGTAGCGCTTTCGTAAAATTCCCCAAAAAAGGAATTTATCAAAAAAAATGTGTATATTAACTTGCTCTCTACTTTTAACAATAAAAAAATCCTGTAGTACAGAATTATTATTTACCTTCGTTCTTTCTTTGGTTTGGTTTTACATAGGATTTTCTCTGAAACTAGATAACATGGAATGGAAAATTTAGTTTATTGAAATTTATTGATCTTAAAAAAGAGAATTTAGGTTAATATTATTGTCATAAATGGCAATATTTTCTTACACTTTCCTTACTTAATTAGGGTTTATCAAACATAGGGTTTAATAATTTATAAAATTTAAATCGGAAACATTATAACACGTACGATATTGCAGCAAGTATTTAGCACAAATTGAGATCACGAGGCAGATCCGGATTTTTCTGTTGAATACAGATGTCATCAAACTTCTTCGCGAATTTCTCACTAGCATCGATCTTACGCATCTTGGGTTTGTCTGTTATGCAGATTTACAATTTGCTTCTCTGAGATTACTTTTGTTTGTAAACAGCTCAATTTATAGTTAACTATTTTTTATTGTAAAATTAGCAACAGTTAAATTATTTTAATATTATTCAATCCAACTACATTATATTCCTTACAAATAAATTGTTGTTAACGAACAAGTGTATAAATACGAGCAAGTATTCTTTAGATTTTTTTATTAAAAGCTGGTGTTTTCACATATCACAGACAGTACTTCAAGTTTCATTTGCCATTCATTCCATCAATAACATAATCATATAACTAATATATAAAAGATTTAATTTTTATGTTACAGTTATAGTGACTTTCATATAGTTCGTTGCTTAATTTTTATAAAAAAGTCATACACCATACTTAAATATATCTGTCTTTTTCTTTCCTCTTTTTATTTTCTCTATTACTTGTCGCTTTCTTACAACTTTCACTATCTTTCTATATATTTTTTTCTCTCGATTTTCCACTTTTTGTCTTTGTTTTTTATTTCTCTTTTTCTCTTTCTTTCGAATTAGTCGAATTAGGATTGCACAAGAAGAAAAATAAACTCGGAAAGCTTCGATTTGTATTTGATCGGACCGATGTCGAATATTTTTCAAAGTATGTTTACTTTACAGGCAATTTTATTCCACTCATTAATATTAAACATGTAATTTTCAAATTGAAGCCTTTTTGAATTTTTAAATATAAGTCCCATCAGCTACACACTTTTATTCTGGCCATAACTCATCACATTTAAATAAAATGATTAATTTTATTAAACCCTTTTAAACAGACATAACAGATGACTGTATAAAAATTACTTATTTGAAAATGGCAAAAAGAGGGAAAATTCGAAAGGTTGTTGGTATCCGAGTGGTTGGAAGTCACGATAGCTCATGTAGTAGAGCAGCGGCGTATTTAGCCGAAAGTCGTGGGTTCGAATCCCGCTCGTGGCACTAACTTTTTCATTTCAAACAAACCTTATATAAAAAGATTAATTAATTGAAAGAAGTGATTTGGTCAATAGACTACTAAATATAATGAATTATTTATAATGAGATAAATATGAAGGGAAAAATAAAAATAATACCATAATTCCAAAATGTACTGTTTCTGTTCTACTAGATAAAAATAGGTATCATGATGCTTACTAATCCACAGTAACTTTGAGATTATAGATACAAAAAAAAATTTAATTTTTAAATGTTCATAATTTTAAACATTTAAAATTATGAATTGTAAACTGCGATTTATAGTCACACCAAGCAAATTTTACAATTGATGCAATGTAAACATAAAATGTTACACATGATAAGGGAAATCACAACACAGCAGGGACATTCCCTCACATTCACATTGAGTCAGTCCACATAATTGTATTATTTAAAGAAGATATATTTAACAATTAATTAATTTAAGTGGTTTTTAGAAGTCCTTCCAGTTATATTGTTTCATTCATACTTACTACTCATTCATTCATACTTACTAATTTCTTTCTATTTCTATCTCGATTTTTTTCTTGTAAGTATAAGAAATGTGTTAGGGCTTAGAGGGACATCTGGATTATATATTATATTCTATTATAAAATTATTATTATACTCTGTTTCCTTCTAGGGTAAAATCATCATGATTCTTTTTAACAAAAAAAAAAAAAAAAAAAAAAAAATTGGAGGACTTAAATAGTGTTACATGTTGCTGTACGTACGGTAAAGAAGTGAAATATCTTATTTGACTTTCTTTGAATCGGCATCTGAATAAAATCACGCAAAGAGCTAAAATAGTGATTACCAGAAGTAAATGTTTATGTAGGAAAAGCAGCAGACTAAACCCAAATAATCATCTACGGTTTTACATAGCGGTTGTTAAACCCCTAATAGCATATTGATAAGGAGCATTGATAACGTCCCCCGTATTATCTTTATCCAGGGAAAAGCTAGAACTACAATTCACAGGAAAATGCAGAGCAAGTTACAAGGGTCTATCAGCATACAAAGGAGGCTCCCCAGGTCCAGTGACGAATTATTTCGTTCTTTTGCGTTTTGTCATAACAAGGGCTCTAGCTGACTCACTGCATCTATTGGGCTGACATTACTATGTGTAGCAGAAACTTTTACGTATATGGACAATTCATCCCATACCCTTTCTTTCCTATCCTCATCATCAGCGAAATCTCTTCTCCCCCTTATATTGACAACTTGGGTTGTTTCTCAAAATTTTGAAAAATAGCGACGGAATTTTTTTTCTGAAAAATCAACCGAACACAATATCTCTTTTTCGTTGGAAATGCTCTATTTTCGTCTACCTCTCGCCCGTGTCTTTCTCAACTCTCTTTCCTTCCCTAATATCTACTCGATTACCTTTCTGAACTCATGTGCATGTACTGTTTTTTGGTTATTATTTTTAATATACATATGAATACTTTTTCTGAAAAATAAATTTCCTATTAAACAACCTTAGTTTCTTTTTCTCCTTCTCTTTACTTACATCAGTTGGAAACTATTAAGAATAAATAATGTCAAATTTTGCACTTAATTAGTGCACTTCAAAATGAATAAGGGCGATTCAAAGCGAATGCTTCGAATTTCAATGCAAAATAAATCAAGCTGGGGTCAAGTTGTGGCTGAGAATAAAGACATGACAAACAATCATCCTAAAATCATCAGGAAAATGTTAGCTCCAGTAAAAACAATAGATTAAGGTGTTGGGGATAAATTGACGCACAAATCTCAAAATTCAGATTTGGTAAGTAAATTCTAATCAAAATACCCTAGAGAGGAATTATTCTCGGAAAAATAGTGCTAGGAAGAAGAAGAAACAGCGGAATATGTCTTTTGTTATTGCTAAGGCCTAGTCTCGCAAAGATTCTCGTGGGAGAGGAAAAAAGGAAGAGAAAAATGTGACCAGAAGGTTACACACCTTAATAAACTTTGAGATCTGGTAAAAAGTATTTTCTCACGAAGAGCACTAGACAATGATGGAGATTCGACAATATTGGTCGCTGTCCTCAAGATCGCAAAGAGGCCGCCTCTATGAGTAGCCTAACCATCCCTAAACCTAGCCAATTTTTGATACCCTGTTATTATCATAGATTTCTGACACTGGCTTTTCTCATTGACCTATAATTAACCGATGTCTAAGTCTCTTCTCTCTCTCTCTCTCTCTCTCTCTCTCTCTCTCTCTCTCTCTCTCTTTCTCTCTCCCTTCTTTTTCTCCGTTTGTGCATGTGTGTCTTCTAGAAAGCTAAATAATGTAATGAAGTTGGTAGTAACAAATTATAATTCTATTTTGCAACATACACATTGCGTATAGTTATTTTGTGGCATTCACAATTTAGTTTAATTAAAATCGGATAATAAAGAGAAAACGTTTCAAGACTGCGTGCCCTCTATGTTCATTTTCCCTTTAACTAATTTTAGTAGATATTTCGCCGATGTACAGTATGTACAAACTCTATGAATTATTTCTATTTAGCTGAGAGTAGAACAGACCCGTGTTGATTCAATTCATCCCAAATGGTCTTTATACCACTTTATACCACTGGTTTTACTTATAGTGTCTGTATTTCTTCTTTTGTTATGATTTAAGACTAATGGTATTACCCAGTCAAATACCAGTTTTATTTTATTTAAAATATTTCCAGTAAATTATTAAAATATGTTTTTGTTGTCCGACACTTTTATCATTAAAAATATCTATTAATACCAACTAACCCAAAGGGGATTGAAAATAGGTTTTAATTTATTTATTATTTTAATATCCAAAAGCTAATACTTCTGTAGTAATTTGCGGACTTTAATTAATACTACCAACAACTGTAAATTTCTTAATTGGAAGGATTTAGGTTTTCAAAGCACAACAATTCAAACTTGTGTAAAATAATTTTTAATTAATTAAAATGTCAAATTTCCCAAGGTGTAGCAATTGTTATAAAATACATTCACTAGTTTTCGTGGTCCGCTTGACCTATTAATATCTTTCAATTAATTAAGGTTTTTAGTTAAAATAAAAAAGTCAGTATCACGAGCGGGATTCGACCTCGATCCACTTTATCCCAAAAAAAACCTTAATTATTTAGAAGATATTAATTGGTTAAGCGGACCACGAAAACTAGTGAATTTAATAAGTTAAAATGAAGTATACCATCACTAAAGCTCTCCGTGGCATTTCATTGTCGCCGAGAATAAAATAGATTACATATTTGAAAAATGTTAAAAAGGAGGGAAAATTCAAAAGGTGGGGTTGAGATGGGAAGTTAGTGTCCGAGTGGATTGAGCACGTTAGCTCAAGTGGTAGAGCAGCGGCGTATCTAGCCGAAGATTGTGGGTTCGAATCCTGCTCGTGACAGTGACTTTTTTTCTCAACTAAAAACCTTAATTCATTGAAAGTTATAAAATA